GTTGTGTTCACCAACTCAGACCTTGGTGAGAGTCAAAAAATTTTTCAATATTCCTGTATTTTTCCTCACATATCTTCATGGGCACTCAGCTTATGACACTGCAGATTCTTGAAGGACAAAAGTGTTATGTTATGTCCTGGTTTCCTGCTCTTCTTCTACACGGCTGTTTGGAATTGACTTTTAAAAAGTGACAAGGGGGGAAAAATGAGAACCAAGACCTGTCATGTAAAGGTACAAGATCCCAATAATGAATGTACCTGTACTATACACCTAAAATGTACCAATAAACTCAATGAAGAAAAAAAAGTGACAAAGATATACTCGTGACTGTGCCCCGCCATGATTGAAAGGAAAAGAACAGTATTAATTTTTCTGCTCAGAGACAGTTTTGAAACTCCTACAATTTCAAGTCTTTTAAGAGTCATCATGGAAACATATAAACTAACAGTCAACATTGATTTGGTGACTAATATAAGGTAGTTACTAAATCAAGTTCTGTGCACTTTATCTTCCTTAAAACTCAGAATGCCACTCTGTGGTGTCACTGTTGCCATTTTATAGTTGAGAGAAAAAAAAAGACTTAAATAAACCAAACCATTTACCCAATGGGGAAAGGCAGAGAATCTCAGGGTCTGGAATTAGACCATTTGGACTTGAAATCTTCATCTCTTATGTTCTGTGTTAGGATTTCTTAAAGGATGGTGTCCAGAACACCTGCATTAGAGTTACCTGTGAAACATAGCAATTGATCTATTTCCTAAAGACTATGAAGTTAGAATTTATGGAGATAAGTCACAGCATCTCCATAAGTTTTCATTTGAAACACTATAATTTGACAGCCAGCACTCTGTCCCTGTCCCTTTCAAATATTTCTTTTTCTCCTGGATAATCTTTCTTTTTTTCTTATTTTCTTTTTAAAAATTTTATTAGCACATATGTGCAGTGCATAATGACTACAAGCACTGTGGGGATCCGGTGCATGTACGGAACACAGCTTAATGTTTTTATGTCCCTTCCCCTTCCCAACCCCTGGTGCCCCTCAGTTGTGAGGAAAGAGGATGGGAAAGCTTTGAGCTTTATCTTACGCTGTTGGTCCAGCTACATAGTAATGACTGCCATCAGTGTTTACTGGGGTTTACAGCTAACCAGGGAATTTTACTGGGCTATTTTGATACTGCACAGAATGGCTTGGACAAGTTTAGCGCAGAATTGGACTATGAATAGTTTCACGATCTTTCATTTTTAATGTTTAGAAACATCGCCAATATGTGAAGACTTAAAAATCCCAGAAGTTTGAGCAGGGTGTGGAGCTCCGTGGTAGCGTGCTTCCCCTTGCCTGCCATGCACAAGGCCCCAGATGATCCCCAAAACCACAACATAAAATAAAACCTCAGGACGTCATGTCTTGCTTGCAGAAAGGCTGTAGAATTTTTTCAATGATGTCTTTTCTCCCTGCTACAGTGTCTCTACAGGTCATGTAATATCAGCCTCAATGATTACTTCTCATCACAATATTTTCTTTAAAAATGGAGTAGAGGGAAAAAAGAAATCTCACAGAGTCAATGGGGAGTGTTTTCTGAAGACAGAGGTGCCGGGGAGAAAAATCTTACTGAACTGTGAGAAAAGTGATGCAGTGTTGAGATGGGTAATTCTCAGAGCTCCTCAGAAATACAGAAAAGGTAGCATCTGGAGTCACAGTCATGGGGGACACCAGCGGCTTCAGATTTTCGCAGTGAGTCCAATTATTAGATATAAGGAATTTTAAATATAAAACAGTGAGTTTTTACCTTAATACTATTTCTGCCTGCTTGACTAATGTCTGTGTCCCTAACCCTTTGCAATTTCCCACGCTCTGGTGTAGTGAAATATGCCTACTAGGTTGTTCCATTAATGTTGATTATGAACATTTAATTACAATTTGGGTAAAATATTCTATAGATAGACTTTGTTTTCAAAAATAGAATCAAAAGGGGGATTCTTACTACCCTATTTCTGAGTGATCCTTCATGTCTTTTGCATAATAAACATAGTGATGCACACATTTTTTTCTAATTTTCCAGTTTATCAAATTTTTATATGTGTGTTTAAGCAATCATGAGGGCTTTCTAGCAAAGGCAGTATTCTCGCTTTTACTGATGAGAGAAACTTAGCCCAGAGAAGTAAAGATACTGTACAAAGTAACAGAGCTAATACCAGAGTTAAAATAGTAATTTAAGTCACTCCAAACAAAGGGCGTTTCTTCAAGAAACCTCCATGAGAGAAAGAATATCTTCAAATTGGAAAGAAAATTTAAATTGCCATTTTTATTGCTGTACACTCTTACTGTTATTACTGTTCCTGTTTATTGAGTTTTGTTCCAAGTTGCTCATGCCTGCTCCAAGGGTTTGGTGTTACTAAAAGAAAAGATTCCCTGCTTTGGAATGTTTTGAGATTATAAGTGCAAACCTGTTTAAGTGGCTCAATGTTATTTTCATTTCTATTCTTTGTGTGTGGTCTGCTGTGATTCCCTAGATCACCTCCTTTGTGAGGCCAGAACACGGGCTGATGTGCACTGGGGGATTCAGAGCTGTTGTTTTGCCTTCAAAAATACAGCTGAGCAGACCAAGCCCAGGTCAGCAGGGACACACACACACACACACACACACACACACACACACACACACAGAGATGCACTCTTGCACCACCTGCATAGAACTAGCCTTGAGTCTCAACTCCACCCACTCAACCCCTTCATCTAAAAGTGTTTTCTTGCCTCTCCAAAGCACCCACATCCACCTACTCACATTCACAGACCTTGTCATGCAGGTTTCAAGGTTGTAAAACAGGCTTCCAGGAGGAGCTCACAATCTAGTGCTCTCATTTTCTCAAACAGCAGCCTGAGCACAGGATCGGGGAATTTTTATTTCTCAATGTGTTTTTTATCTCGAAAACAGCATCAGCTTCAGCCTCTCTGTCCTGAATCTCCTTGTAAAAATGAAAAGCAAAACACAGTCCTGCCACCCATAATGACATGGTTCTATCTTGCCATTTGATGTGTGTCAGGTATATTCAGCTAAGCGGAGGGCAGGCCTGGGATCTGCCCAATCTTTGAACTCTAGCTTTCATATTTCAGTCTACAGCTCTGTGCTGGTCTTTGGGAAGAGATACTACACGCTACTATCTTACAGTCATTTAAGTACAGCCTTGAAGTAATTCTCTTGGTGAATAATATTTCACAGTTCCCAGATACTCCAGGCTGCCATGGGAGTTAGCCACATTTTCAAGTGAGAGATGACCAACGAAAGACTGGTAAGAAGCACTTCTGATACATTTATTGTAGACACACTTGCATAGGAAAAATCTCTTCTCTCCTTTTGTCTGTCCAAGTGAACTTTTGCTCCACCGCAAGTGTTCTTTCTTTGGAATCTGGCATGGGCTGCTCAAACCGCCCCCGTCATGCTCAGACATGTTTACGGTCTTTTCTCAGAAATTTCTGACATTACCTTTTCTAGGACATTTTATCAGAAGATGTTCTCCTCCAGCCAAATCTTATTTAGTTCACAACGACTCTTCTAAGCAGAAGATGTCCCTTCTGATATGACAGTATTTGGAGGCAACATAGCCTAGTTCATCTTTTAAAACAGAGAGGTGGACAGACTGAAAACAATCTCAAAAATTAGTGCTCATTCCTAGGAGAGTTCCCTGTGAAAATTGAAGGTGGGGTTAGGTTTCAGAAATTGCCCTGGGAACAGTAAAATTGGATGAGTCATCCCAAAAAGTCCTAATAGAAGGTTAAGGAGAAAGACAAAGCTTGAAATGACCATAGCAAGAGGGATGGAAGTTGATGCTTGGAAAAATAAAAATAAAATTAAAAAAAATCATCAGGAACTGCATTGCCTAGAAAGAGAACTCACGCCTATGGAACCTTAGGGCCTTTGCCAAACACTTTAAATATATAATCTTACCTAATCCCCATTCTACAAAGAAGGTCTTGTGTGTAGAACTGTGCTCCTTTAAACTTCCCTTGTGGAAGTCCTAATCCTCAGTGACCTTATTTGGAAGCATAGTTGTCCCAGAATTAGTTCTTTAAAATTATGTTAGACAGGAGTGGGGGTAGAATCAGTCAATATGGTGTTCTTATAAAAAGGGGAAATTTGGTTTATGAGAAACGAGCACATAAAAGCAAAGTGATGTAATATGATTCGGGGAGAAGATGGCCAACTAGAGGCTAAGGAAAGATGCTTTGAGCACACTTTTCCCTTGTAGCCCTCAAGGAAACTAAGTCTGCAGACACCTTGAACTGGGACTTTTGGATGCTAGGGTTATGATATAACAAAATTCTGTTGTACAATATTCAGATTTGTGGTTGCCTGTTATGGCAGTTCCAGGCTCAGAGAGGCTACTCAGTTTGTTTATTGCCAGGGGTGTGGGCTTTGATATCAATCAGCCTGATGTCAAAGTCTTGCACCCCTTCCTGCTGTCCCACTGAAGGTTTTCGCTGGAAGACAACGTGCCCTGCATTAAAGTGAATATGAAAAACTTTGTTCTCAGTTTGTCAGACTGGTGGAGATAGAAATATTTTAACGGGAGCAGGGTGAGAGCCTATAGTTTCTCCTGTTCATATCCCTTGCCCTAACCGCACTTGAGGGCTCTCCAGAGCTTCTGAGAAATTTCCACTACCCTGTAGAACACCAAAATACCGCACGCGTGCGCACGCACACACACACACACACACACACACACACACACAAGGGGAAACTGAAGGAGCTGTAAAAGATATAACACAGACAGTAGCAAAGGGTCATTACTAAGTGCCATTAAATCCAAGAAATGAAAGTGGAAATTGCATCCCTTCCTCCAGAGTATTTAAAGAATACAAAAGCTTAAAAATGTCTTCGTGTGCTTTCTGGTTGATGGATAATGGCAGGAAAAAAAAAACAGCACTGTTTGGTAGTAAATGAGTCATGAATTGGTCCTGTGATCTAGGACCCTGATTTTGCTTTCTGCTTTCTAGTACCTCAGTCGCCATGCATGTGCTACAGAACTCATATGCTCAAGGAGCTAACAAATGGAGTAACAGGTATGAAGAATGCATTGAAAATCACAGAACAAAATTCTGCATCGTGGTGCCAATCATTCTCTTATTAAGTTTGGTGGCATTAAAATATATACAAGGAAAGACACTGAAACAGGTTGATGAATCTGCAAGGGCCCCTGATTCCTCAGGCAGACCAGTAAGAGTCAGGCTGAACAGCATCTCTGGAGGAATCAGCACACTATGAAATCATGATGTGTGATCACTAACTCGTCCACTCTGCACCAACGACCTTCATCTCTGTTTTCAGCATTCTTTGAAATCCCTGACCTTCTCTGTGTCACTGAACTGCTGAATGACTACTCTGAACTCAGTCGGGCATCCTAGTCCACCCCGCTGATGTAATCAGACAAAGCTTACCCTGCACAGCCAGAGACACTGATTAGCATTCAGTTCAGCAACTGGAGTGGAGCTTGGAGAGCTGATAAAGCGTATGAGGCCGGCATCCAGGCATAAACCATGTCACCTTCCAGAGTAAGAACGCATAACCTATGCCTTATTGTTGTCCTACTATTGTTGGAAAACTCTTGGAGGTTCGTTCATTTTTAATATGGAGAGTTAAACTAATAATCTCTTCATAACAAGGAAAGGGCACTATTTCACTTTCTATAGAGCTTTCAAAAAATTCCAGAATGTCAAAGCTGGAGGAGGAGACAGAGGTCGCCTGGCCCAACTCTCATTTTACAGTCAGAGGACCTCAGAGCAGAGAGGGATATTGATTTCTCAAAGTTCACTCATGAATGTTACTAGTAGAGCAAATATTAGAAATCTGAGAAATTCCCTTCCAACTTTGGGTTCTATTTATTGAATAACAAGAGAATGAACATATTAGTATCAAGGGGATGTTGGGAAGGTTAAGGAGTTGGCAACTAAGTTTTACTAGCGTATTTTGGGCTGGAACAATGGACAGAGTGTACCTAATTTTATGGCTCTATTGTGTACATGGGGATTATCCAGCATTCCTGAGAAATAATATTGGCATGTTATGTGTCAGGTGGGTGCAATGATAACAGAGTCGAAATAAATTACTAAGTTACTTGAGTCTGGACATATATTTCCATAGTTTTCTAAACTTGATGACTTAGTTTGTAATTTTCAAGCCTTAAAGAACAACATTCCATTTGACCCAGCCATCTCTCTGCTGGGTATCTTTCCAAAAGAATTAAAAGAATCATACCACAGTGATATATGTGCTCCTATGTTTATAGCGGCACAGTTTGTAGTAGCTAAAACTTGGAAAAAGCCCATTTGCCCATCAGTTGGAAACTGGATAAAGAAGATGTGTTTTTTTTTTTATATAAAATGGAATACTACTCATCCATAAAGAATGAAAAATTGGATTCACTCATAGGAAAATGGATACATATTAAGGATATACTCCTAAGTGAAATAAATAAGTCACACATGTAAATACCAAATAGTTTTTCTGATGTGATAAACTATAATAGTACATAAGATCCTAATGAGATAATTGGCAATGTGAAATAGAAAGAAAAGTGCTAAAGGTGTAGGGAAAGTGGGAAGGGTAGGGGAAAGGGAATAAGGGAAAAGAAAAAATATGAGAAAATGAAAAAAATGGAAATAAAGTGTTTGTAAAGGGGGAGGGTAGGAGGGGGTGAAGGGAGGGCAGGGACAAGGGGAAAAAATGAGAACCAAGACCTGTCATGTAAAGGTACAAGATCCCAATAATGAATGTGACTGTACTGCACACCTAAAATGTACCAATAAACTTAATGAGGAAAAAAAATGTTGGCAGAGTCTCTAGTTTGGCCTAGGCATTCTATCTGTAAGAGGCAAAATTAGGGCTGGGGATTTTTAGTTCAGTGGCACCAGGCCTGCCTAGCAAGCACAAGGTCCTGAGTTTGACCCCAGTACAAAAAAAAAGTTAAAATTAAGTCCCTTCCCTCATGATAGAACTTTTGCAAAAATCTTTATAAAGTTTCGTTTCAGTCCAGAGACATTCAGAAGTGGAACGACTCATCCTAACTGCATGTCTGTGGGTAGGTTACTTATCCAATCTGTGCCTCAGTTTCCCTGCCTATAAAATGGGGATAGTGATGGTACCTGCCGGAAAGGATCATTGTGCTAAATGATTAATATCCTCAAAGCACTTAAATACTCCTATTACCATCGTCATTGTAAATTCAGGGGTGCTTTGAAAAGCCGTGACAAAGACCTGTAATTTCTGCCTCTCTTTTTTCTTCTATTCTTCCCATTAATCTTCTTCCCTCTCTGATGTTTTGTTTTGTTTTGCTTTGGTTTGGTTTTGTTTTCAATATTGTCTATTTTTCCTCAAAAAGTTCCTTCTCAATTTGAGGGCACTAATTGCTTTCCACTACATTTTAAATGAGGCTATATTTTAAAAGTAACCTGACACTTGTCCAAATAGCTAATTTAAATTTATGTGTCTCCATCCTTCATTCTGCAGTCAGAATTTGACAGACTCAGCTTTTGATTTTCAAAGGAAATATGTATATATATAT